TCTTTCCCCTCTCCTCTCTCTCCTAGGCCGACTCGGAAGTGGCAGAGGCGGGCAAAGCCGTGAGTCTGCATTTCGAGGAGAAACTGCTGGAGATTTTTCCCGACCAGACGTTCCCAGTAGTCATGGAGAAGGAGATGCAAGCGGAGGCCGATAAGGATTCGGAGGACTCTGACGATGACGTCGTACAACCGAAACGCAAACGCTTAAAAGTGGACACCGAGAAGCTGTTGCACATCAAGTGAAGAAAATGAGGAAACGTCTGCAAGAAATAAACTGTCTTCCTCTCAAGCTCAGTCTTATTCTGCCTTCTGAAGGGCATTAGAATGCTGGAACTGATGCGATTCAAATGCTTAGTTTATTTCATATTCTCTCAAACCCTGACGAACCATTGTACATACAGCGTGAGAACTCTTACACATGCATTGTGGACGTTGGCGTCTTCATCGGAGGATCGATGAATGAATTGTTGGGTGTCGATGAAGACACTTGTACAGATTTAAATTAGTCTTGTTTTGGTCTGATTTAGTAAATATCATTTTTATTTTTTTTCTTTCTTAAACTATGAGTTATTATTATATTTGTAAATCTATTGTGAATGATACTTTATAAATGATACTCGTCGCTCCCTTCTGTTGTATGATAAAGTTTATCATATATGGCCCACCTGCTTCCTTTGCATGTGTATTTTCTTATTCCTACAGTTGAAATCCCTTCAGTAGGAGAAAGTTTGATCTTTATTTCCAATAAAACGGTGACTTCTGGATTGTTGGAAAGTTTAATCGCAGACCCTTTAACTCAAAAGATGCATATTAAATGGGTGTCTGTGCCATCTGACAAAAGCCAATACAAAAGTACTTTCAACAAGCATTGTTTATTTCATTCCAATTATATATAAACTACAGTACTGCCATTGTTACTTTTATACATATACTTTTCAACATCTAAGGCTATAATGGTTATAGCCTTAGATGTTGAGTAAATGTTGAAGTGAATTATTTTAAACTTTTAATTTGTATATTCCAATAATTTGAAATCCAACAAGTTCAAAAGGTAAACATTTAAAAACGCAGTATTATACAATTCTAAAACCCTCTTAAATAAAATATCTCTGAATTTTATTCTCCAAACTTTCCTGTAACTGTTGGGTTAAGAAGCGGGATACATTCAGACAAGTCAACCATATAACTAAATGTAGATTTTAAATACAATGTTTATTAACTGTGTTCCATGGCAGGGGTATTTTATGTGTCAAACTGAGGCAAGTTGTCACACGTGGGTTTTACATACGTTTATTATTTACAACATCTCACAATGATATTTGGTGCCTCGTAATTGGTTTAATCAGTGTATAATTTCTTAAAGGGGTCATATGATGCGATTTCAAATGTTCCTTTCTCTTTGCAGTGTTACAAGCTCTTTGTGCATAAAGAAGATCTGTAAAGTTGCAAAGACTAAAGTCTCAAATCCAAAGAGATATTCTTTATAAAAGTTAAGAGTCAGCCACACCTACCTAAAACGGCTCGTTCTAACACGCCCCCACATATCTACATCACTATGTGGGAAGATTTGCATAACGCCGCCCAAATGTTACCCCTTTAATGGCAGGTTTCATTATGGTAGCTTACTTCACTGAGACGTGTTTCCAGAAATGCTCAGTCTGTTCAGTGAATTGTATGTCGTTTCCTAGGCAATAGTTTTCGAAAGTCATGACTTTAGGTTATTTCTATACAGGTAATGACTTTAAAAATGAACCTACCAATGAGAAACGTTTACTGGAGTTAAAATGGGGACCTCTAGCCCCGTCCTCCGCTGTATTTTACAAATTAGGCGCCCTATACAGTCGTGTAGACCGAAATGTCTCAGTTTGGCTTGTGCACATGTTCGTTTCGGCAGCCTAGAGACTCTTAGGAAATCACGTTTTGCGTCAAACCTGCGCGTCCTGTTTTTGTTGACTGGACATGTGTGAAGTCATGAAGACCCCCCCCCTTTTCATTACACACGGGTAATGCATTTAGCTCATTGTTAAAGTTAGCAGTTCGAAGATCTGTACTCAACACAAGTTAGTCAACGGTGTACTGTTTAACATACAAAAAACACTAACTTCACACCGATCTGTGAAAATGCCAGACATGTTGATCACCATGTAGTGCCTAAACTGATATATGTTGACCAAAACAAATACGGTGGGAAAATGATTTGTAGAGATTTATTGTTGTTATTGTTACTTAAATTAAGCGTTATTATAGTTTGTTTTGTTATATGAAAAAAAAAAACGCTACATTAAATATAATATTCACATTCGGAATTTACAGAAACTGACACAAGCTACGACTTGAGTCAAAAGTTAGCGATCGGTCGAACCGGTTCAAAAAATGGATCTGAACGATTCGCACTGAATCTGACAGTTTTATAGAACACGTATCTTATTTTAATAAATAATTGTAGTATTGTTTAATGTAAATTCATTTTATATTTCGGTTCTAAATTACCTTTATTATGTTTTATAAGCTGATTCATGCTGATCTGTCTGGGACACATGCAATTACATCTTGTATTAATATAACTTAAAAGTTTGTGAAGATTTTAGAGCATGTAATATTTCAAGGACCACATGACGCCAAAAAAAAAAAAAAAGCTGAAAACGTTTTTTTTGGTACCGGATCTCTTAAATGAACTGTTCGAAAGAACCGATTCGCAAAATGAGTCACTAGCGAAGCTTCCGGTTTCTTGACCGAGGATGACGTAGCGCCTCAACTATCCAACCACAGCGCTAAACGATGACCTCGTTATTTTGACGACTTGTTTGTTTTCCTCTCGAGGTAACTGCGGACTAAGATCGACATTCCGCTCCTTTTCTACCTCAGCAGCTGAAGATCTACATCACAGGTAATGTGCTAATCGTATATACATGTATTAACGTATTTGTAATGTCTTTTGGTTCCGTAAGTGTTTAAACATCACTGCACTTTGTTTGGACTAATCACCAGGAACCATAACACATCTGTTTTCCTAAGAATTCCACCTGGGCTGTTTGCATAAGAACGCGATATGCCAATGTCATTCCTTATGGTTCCTCGCTGCTGTTTTTCCAGTGATGTCGGATGGGCTTGTGCTCGGCGGTGGTGGGAACTTCAGCTCTCTCTGCCCGCACGGGATCGAGTGGATCTGGTATGGACTGGGTGAATGTGCCCAGGATGGCAGAGACATCGCCAGTGTTGTTCTCGGACTGCTGTCGATAGTTTGCTTCATTGTGTCTTCACTACCGTAAGTAGGCCTACTGTTGTGCTGTTGCACTGTGTATGGCTTAGTTTTGTCATGATATAAAATGTATTCAGGTACAGCAATAATTTTTAACATTTCTTATACACATTCAAGAATTTGGGAACAGTAAGATTTTTTTAACGAACGTAATACTTTTATTCAGCAATGATGCATTAAAATGACCAAAAGAGACTGTAAAAACATGAATAATGTTTAAAAAAAATCTATTTTAAATAAACGCTGTTCTTTTGAACTTTATATTCAATAAAGAATACTGAAAAATGCATCTCGGTTTACACAAAAATATTAAACAGTACAAATGTTTTCAACATTGATAATTGTAAGAAATGTTATTAGTTAATAGTATATTAGAATGATTTCTGAAGGATCATGTGACACTGAAGACTTTTCATCTCAGAAGACTCTTTGCATCACAGAAATAAATTAAAATATAAATATATATAATAAATATAAAAACACATGTAACACTCATTTTAAAATGTAATAATATTTTGCATTATTTTTTATTTTTGCTGTGTTTTGGATCAAATAAATGCAGCCTTGGTGAGCATTGGAGACTAATTTTAAAACATTTTTAAAAACATTACTGGCACCCAAACTTTTGAACTGTAGTTTAAATGTGTAGAGCGGTGGTGCTGGAGGCACCCCAGCACTGCACATTTTGCATGTCTGCTTTCTCTGACACACCAATTTCAGGTCTTGGAGTCTCTACTAATGAGCTGATGATCTGAATGAGGGGTGTTTGATTAAGGAGACATGCAAAACATGCAGTGTTGGGGTGCCTCCAGGACCAGGGTTGGGAACCACTGGTGTAGAGTGACACATTTTGCACATGATGAGAAATGATGAGCTCATACTGACTGTTACTGTAGGCAATACTACAGTTCCTGCAAGACAGGAAATATGGACAGCGCTCTATCGATTTGGTTCCTGTTATTTTGGCTGGCCGGTGACTCGTGCAATCTTATTGGATCGTTCTTGGCTGATCAACTTCCACTACAGGTAAGGAACAATTGTCACATTCTTTATTTATCACTTTAGATAAAATATCTGCTCAATGAATGAAAATGAACCCTAATTGATCATTTTTTTAAATTAAATGATCCTAGTTTTGCTGTAGTTTGAACTGAGGCCTGATTTTATTATTATTATTTTATATTCATCACTCTCGTTTCTCCTTTAGAAATACACTGCAGTGTACTACGTCCTGGCAGACCTGTTAATGCTGTCAATGTACTTTTACTATAAACTAAAGAATAAGTCATCGAGGGGTGAGTTGGAAATTATACTTCACTAGTGACTTAAATGTGTCATAAGGATAGGATCTATGTAATTGGTTGCTCTTAAAGGGGTCATATGATGCGATTTAAATTTTTCCTTTCTCTTTGAAGTGTTACAAGCTGTTGGTATCTTGGATCTGTAAAGTTGCAAAGACTAAAGTCTCAAATCCAAAGAGATATTCTTTATAAAAGTTAAGAGTCAAACAAGCC